CATTCAGGGAGCTAAGAAGGTAAGTTTTTCTAACTTTATGTATTGATCCAATTAATCAAATTCAGGAGGGTGCTAATGTTGCATTAGATGGTAGCAACTATGTTGTTCCTGGATTCGAAAACGGTAATTTTGTAGGTCCCTCCGTTATCGCTGGTGTAAAGCCAAATATGACTTGCTACAAGGTAAGTGCCTGATTTCATTTTAGTCCAATTGATTTCATGCCAGCAAGTTGATTTGAAAACTTTTGTAGGAGGAAATCTTTGGACCTGTGCTGGTGGTTATGGAGGCTGAAGACTTAAACGAAGCAACAGAAATTATTAACAAGAACCCATACGGGAACGGAACTGCTATCTTCACTTCAAATGGTGCTACTGCTAGGAAGTAAGTCCTACACAATTTTTTCGCACAATCTCTGCAGTTTATCAGTACATTTTATCGTTCTCAGGTTTACCCATGAAGTGGATTGCGGACAAGTTGGAGTAAATGTACCGATTCCCGTCCCTCTCCCCATGTTCTCCTTCACTGGCTCGCGCGGATCGTTCTTGGGTGATATGAACTTCTATGGAAAGGTAACAGCACTCTCTTCCATTTTTTTTTCTTTTTGAAATATTCCTTATGATATGTGATATTCTAGGCCGGTATCAGCTTCTATACTCAATGGAAGACGATTACGCAGTACTGGAATGAGAAGCTAACAGAAATCAAGCCACAAATGTCCTTCCCTCAAATGAAGTAGTCGAGCGGCATTTGAATCCGTGATGGTGAATCTCAAACACCTACTTTGCTGGTACCGTTGTTGTCTATTATTTTGAAGATTTCTACGAAAATGAAGATTGTTTGACGAATTTGCGAATAGCTGAAATTGGAAACTAGTGATATATAAGGCTAGTCAAATAGTTGTGCTATTTTGTTCTTCTCAAACTCAGAACTTTGTTTTAATTAGACAAGATGAAAAGCGATTTGCTGCAAGCTGGTCACTGAGGGCCACCTATGGTACAACATGAGCATAGTCCACTTTCACTACATCACTTCATAAATTTCCATCGGCAGGTTCACTAAAGCTAATTCGAGCGTTCACTTTTATGATTGCTGGGAAGCTCAGGTTCTCAGGAACCTTGTTACCTGATACCCAGTCAACCGCCACTGCATCTATCTTACATGTATATGGGATTTTATTTCAGTGTCATTTTAAGGCATTAGTGTGCCTTTCATCATGTCAATCTGCCGCAATGGCTGATGTTAACAGAAAATAAAAAGAAACTATTTTGTATTCCTAACAAACTTTCCTAGGAAATGTTAGAAAGTGGGAAAATTCATAAAATTAAACTAGTATGCGATCTTAATGAACTATATAAGCCAGGCGTAACCTCGTCTATTTGGGCGTTAACAATTGACCGCCCATCTGAGCGAAAGCATTTGAAAAAGGCGATCTCAAGATTAACGTTATAAGTCCTTTAAATTTGTTCTGCCAGGATAAGGCAAGAAAGCCTCTTCCCCGTATGTTTCAGTATAAGGTCGCTTAAGATAATGGGCTGGTACACTTCCGTCCTTTACGCTTCATATCGAAAAAAAGCAATGGAAAGTGAATAATTTTACTGGCAGGACTTTTTATCCAACCTAATCAACTTTGCTCTTTTAGTCATTATCGTGAAAAGGCTAATTTTCCATTGTCAGAAACATTGTTTACAATTAGAAAGGGTTTAAAATGCAGGTTACTAGCAAACAGATCTGTCTCTCCATTCGATAAACCAGTTTTGATAGGATTCTGATACGTTTATACATAAGAAAAGGCTAGCAAATTATGACTGCATTAATGTGCCGTATTTGGACCCGCTTCATCTCCATCCAGATCATCATCAGTGTCATCATGCGACTTCCCCTCTGCATTTTCTGCCGCGTCAGGATTCACCTTAACGCTGTCAAAATAGAACAGACTGTAGCATATGTCATCATCAAAAGAAGACGAACATATAGAATCATGCAAAGCTATGTCTTTGACTTTTGTACATGTCAAGATATATATAAAAGTCAGAGTATGAGTAACATACATGTAATCTCTGCCGCTTGCGAAGATAATAGAGCCATTGTAGAACTTGCTGATCTTCTATGAATTTCGCATTTGCCCCTTAAATAGAAGACCATTTCTATCCTCCATTAAGATTGATTTCAAGAATTATCCTAAGATACCTGAAGTGAGGGCTTCACGAAAGTTTGGACATTGAAGGCACTCTAGTAAATGCAAACATTGCGGATATTTTAAAGCTCTGAAAACAATAAAAATTGACAGAAAAATGAGGAACAATGAAGCGTTTGTGTTTCACTCGAATAATAAGCTGAAGACTGGACTAGTTTGAACACAATTCAAATAAAGACACTGATGTCAAAGGCAAAAGTGCTAAGGAGTTATCTTACCCTACAGTAATAGGATTAAGAGAAAAAGGTGAACTAAAAGAACCCATTGGAGTACCAAAAATCACTGCACTCGACTTTTTATGTGGAAGAATTGGTAATGACCAAGTGCTCATAATGAAGAAAGTGAAGAATTTTGGAGGAGAAAAATAAGGGAGAGAGCGAAAAACAGTACATGAACTCGAACCTTGCGTATTCCGGCTGCTTCCAATAAAGCAGATACTTCAGATAGTTGATGAAATGTTGCTCTTTCAAAAATCCACGTTGAGCAAGAACTGAAATTGATATCAAAGCAACTGAAATTTCAAAACCGTAAGCTATTCCTCCAATATATACTATCAACATTCAAAATGAAGGTACACAAAACACTTTTTTTGCAGCTCGCTGTAATTGCAAATTCTTCGAGTCGTTACGAGACGGAAGCTATTAATACCGAGAAATAGGATGTAGCAGTCTCAAGCGTATTCTGAGGATGATTCTGTGTTAGGTCTTTGTTGTTAATAATGGTCTTAGCTAAGAAAGTGAAGTGTAAATCCACTTCTAGCTCCCTGAGATTTCAAAATTTTGTATTAAGCTTAAACTTTCAAGGAGGTTATTCTACGTGCTGATTATGAATTCCGCCGATAAGGTAACATTGTAGGGTTACAGTAAGAAAACGGTAAGGGTTCAAGATTCGGATGGAAAGAAGCCTATGCGGTCATTTAGCTTTAGGACCACGAACATTTTATCCATTTCGCACGTTACGACCATACTATAGGACTACTATATGTGGACGGTAGAAAGTCATTATCACAGATTTGCTTGAAACTGATGTGGTAGAACTATATGCCGTACTAATCACATAAACTCGCTTTATACTGAAGGCATAAGTGCCCTATCGATCAAACGATTAAGAATCAATCCTCTAAAGGTTGGGGATAGGATGGAAAAGTTTACCATGGTGGTCTCGAACAGCGTGATAAAATCGGTGAGGTTTCAGATAATTAGATGTCTGCTACACCGTACAGATACCGTAATCTTCAGCATGAAGGTATCGGGCGCAATATATGTGATTTTCGTGCTCAACATACCATAACCATAACGAAAGTTTTTTTTTTTTTTT